CTGTTCCTAGCCTATCAAGAGCCTATCAATAGCCATAAATACGTAAGGCATACTCATTTTGTGTGTGTGTGTGCGTCTTTTATCACTGAAGCCGCTCTCTTCAAAAAACGAAGTTGCTTTGTCTGTGTGGCAATATTTCGGCTTTTAATCAAATGAAAAGTTAATTTAGATGAGCCAATATTTAAAAAATGCTGTGAAGTAACTGTGACGTGCGGCCACACATCGAATCTGAGGCCTGATCTCTCGCTGTCACCCGCAGACAGATGCCACACAAGTCAAGTCGCAAAACTAAGGCTGGTATACCTGAAAGGTAGAATAGCTGAAGCCGAAATCTGTCAAAATACAGCGCTGAAATTAAAAGACATTAATGTTTTTGAGCCAAAAGTCTATTTGTAAATATCTGTAAATGCAATCAGAGCCAATATGGAGAAAATGTACCGCCTAATAATTAGCTATAATCATTGTAATAAAATGAAAACCAAAAAAAAAAAAAAAATCATTGCATTCTTCGTTTGATAGAAAATATACAGAAAAAAAACAAAACAAAGGATGGCTTGTTTGAATTAATGTGTTTTAATATTAATAAAAAATATGCTTACTCCATTTATATTGCTACGCCGCCAACAGACAAGCCATTCAAAAATTATTATTTCACTGTGTACAAGGTTATTGTTTATATTTTTCAATAAAAACTAAACGTAACATGCAATTCATAACACACTAGAGCTGTAGGCCTATAAGCAGTGTGTAAACTTCCAGGGCGGTGTTGGTTAAAGCGCACCACGGTATTAAACTCCAATACCTCCGAGGGAGAATATGTTACCCAGTTTTAAGAATAAAAGGCATTTTAAAATAAAAACAAGTAACAAATAAAAACGGGTCCCGTGGACTTTAGCATCTGTTATCTTGCCAGTGTGTGCTGCGAGTGTGTAGCGCTCTTTTGCAGCGCATCTCAACTCCCGGTTTGAGAGAGAGAGAGCGCGCGCGTAAAGAGCTCAAAGCCGGCATATAACCAAAAGCAAGATCATGTCGTTATAAATATTCCGTTAACAATATTTATCGAAATATTTATATGTTTACATGGTGTTTATTGAGATTGTGTGATCTGTATAGGCTGATCTTTACAGAAGCCAGCCTGAGCAGCCGATCAGCGCGGTTCAAACTGTAAGATCGGCGCGGTTGTTTAACATGGCAGATTTTTCCGTCCTTCATACGTGTAGAGAGATCGAGTTTATCGACATGATAAGGGAATTTGTCTTGACAATCAACACAGACGTGACTTAATAAAGCGTGAATTCATGTAGGATTTTACTTGTTGCTAGTCTGAATGTAAATCCCCTCGTCAGGCAGTGCTGGAATAGCGAAGTGGATCAAAGCGCGTTTGATCCAACGGTATTAAAAAGACAAAAATACACAACTTAACATAAATGCTTGTATTTGTTGTAATTGCACCATGCAGCTTTGCAATGCATTCCCACAACTTCATGCATTGGGTTAAATTAGGCTGTCCAATCTGTGTTCAGTCCCTCACTACCATGATTGAAACCCTGACAGGCAGTCAGGTATAGCCTAATACAGAGAGTAAGCCAAAGCGCAGTGGTGCAATTATAATGTATCTAATGGTTTTTATATAAGAAATCGCGATACCCCGATTTGATACAAAACAAATTCGTCTTTAAATGTTAATTCGAATTAATCGAAAAAAAAACGCCTAGCCCTGGTATGTTGGATTTTGCACATTTCAGTTCATTGCATTTTAATGTTTGCTTTGTGTGATCTTCGATCTGTTTGGTCTCTTTCTGAATGTGTTGTTTTATTCTACTAGGTGACAGTACAGTATTTATTTTATCTCGTTTTGAACAAAATAAAGAGCTTCTGTGTCTCATAAAAAAATCATAACATTGAATTAACATCAATATTTTGGTATTGATATTAATATTGATATTTCAGCCTCTCCTAGAGTACCAAATAATGTTGTGATCATTTCTTTGCTTTGACTTGAGTATTGAAATGAGCATACTGATATTAATATTGAGATTTTGGTCCCTTCACTCTTTAGGTGTGTGTAAATAACACACACACACAAACACACATACACACACACACACACACACACACACACACACACACACACACAAACACACACAAACACACACAAACACACACACACACACACACACACACACACACACACACACACACACACACACACACACACACACACACACACACACAAACACAAAAGCAATCAATCAAATAAGCCCTTCACTAAAGCAAGAGTTTTACTAATAAAGTTGCCTGCTGACACATTTGATGGCTCATGGGTATCTTAACCAGTTCACTTCCTACTAAAACTCTGATCGCATTAACCTGGCAAACATTGTTAAATCCAGAGATTAGTTCTTTCTAAACAGCACTCATCGTACCAACCTTTTACCTTCTTAACTTCTGTTCCTGATGGACTGATCAACAAAAGTCTGTTTGCATCACTCTCTTAAAGAAATAGTTCACTTCCATAAACATTAATTACATCAAGTCATCAACTAATCAGCTTAATTAATCAATTAGTTTCATTGCAAACCTGTAAGACTTGTTTTTTTATGTTGACCTAATAGACCAATCGTGGTTAATGTACAAAACACTGCAGCTGTGTCAAATAATACTGAATGGATTTAATACAATCTATTGAGAAATGAGTCAGCATGTTTCTCCTTATAAAGAAAGCCCAGTGTATCTAAACTGTTTATTTTACAAGACTTCTTAAGATATCCGTTTTTGTTCCACCAAAAGATAAAATAGCAGTACAAATTGTGAAAATCATGATCTGTGTTGGATAAGTTACTTTAAAAAAGTATTAGATTACAAATTACTGCATGGCTACAACTGGAAAATTGTAATTTAATTACATTGCTAATTACTTCATATAAAAGTAATTAGATTACTAATTATTTTACTTTAAAGTTACAAAAAATACAAAATAAAATGTAAAAAATACAAAAAAAACTGCAGCTCTGTCAGTAATTTAATAATCACTAAAAAACATTACAATGGGTTGATCACAGCAGCTTGATATACTCATAAGACTTAAAGAGTTCACCCAAAACTTAAAAGTCTCTCATCATTTACTTTTTGCAAAGCTGCTTGTCGTTTTTTGTTAACACAAAAGAAGACATAAAGAAAAATAGATAACCACCGTGTTTTTGGGCGTAGATGTCCTCCTTGGTGACGAGTATTGTCACAGAATGTTAGAATGTCTGTTCAAGTGCTTGAAAAAGTTGCTGGTCAAGTTGAAAGCAGTCGAAAGTTCTTTAGACTGGACATAAACTGCATTTCACCGTAATATTTTTGTTTTTACGATCAATGAAATCAAAGTAATGTCTGTATTTCCACTTAAGGAAGCAACTTCAGCAATTTAAAACTTCTAAAAGCTATATTTGTAATGCAAGTAATGCAATTACATTGACTTTAGTAACTGTAATCAAATTACACAAACTTAAAATGTAATTAGTTACATTACTGTGTTCCCCAAAAATGTAATTAGAATAAAATTATGCAATACTGTGGAACGAGTTACACCCAATTCTAACCATGACCGAGTTGAAATTTTTTTGGGGTGAATTTTCCATTTATGTTGTATAAAGGGTTAGTTTATTCAAAAATGAAAACTGACTCACTATTTACTCACCCTCAGGTGTTTACAAACCTTTCTGAGTTTCTTTCTTCTGTTAAACTTGAGAGACTATGTTTTGAAGAATGTTAGAATCCTGTAACCACTGACTTCAGTAGTAAAGAAAACAAATACTTTGGAAGTTAATGATTACAGATTTTCAGCTTTTGTTAAAATATTTTCTTTTGTGTTTAAAAAAGAAAAGAAAGAAAGAAGGTCAAACAGGTTTGTAACTAGTGAAGGGTTAGTAAATAATGTCTGAATTTTCAGCTTTAGGTAAAATATCTATGGTGTACAAGAGAGCTTTTGACAGCATATGTGTTGCAATGCATACACAAAAAAAGAAACATCACCATACATGGAAATAGCACAGACCACAGTGGAAATGTTTCAAGGTGATAAACTCATAAAAAGCAATGGACACAACTGGGATTTTCATATTGTGCAGTGACTATTGGACAGTGAATTTGTAGGTCACCTGAAAGGGTGAGTTTTTATTTTAATGTCCTGATTACATATTTCCTTTGCCTCTTATTAGCCTAAATTAACTGACGGTTAACTGTGAAATGTTATTATATAAAAGAGCTAAGAGATATCCTCTTAATATACTCAACAACAAAAAAAAATAATAATAATAATGAAAATAAATTCATAATGCATCATAAATTTTTAAAATGAGGTAAAAATAAATTGCAGATAAAAATAATGTTAAAAATATACATTTTTTGTAGGTTTATGATGAAAAGGACATCGCTAACTTTAGTGACCTTTTTTGCATGCGTTGTTAGGATTTGCTGTGTGTTTTTTATTCCTGTTAGCATGGTGAGGATTTGCAACATGCATGCTGTCAAACCTTACTTGTAATTTTTTATTTATGTATTTGCATGTGTTTTCTTACGTTGAAGCGCGTTGAGCTCTCCTGGCCACCGTAACTTTAAGCTAGCCAAATAGAGCAAAACCACAATGAGAACACAAACAGCACGCCAAATGGATTGGCCAGGAGTGTTTACATACTGCTTTGTAATAAGTTCTTGGCATGATACACTTTCATTTTCATGCAGTGGACAGTTCCTTCTAGATAACCCTTGCAATCATTAATAGTCTTGCGGCTACATGAAGAATTAAACCCACACCTGCAGCTAACAGGTACTTAGCCAAAGGATAGAACCATAGAGAATAGAACAGAAGTGACTTCCCTTCCAGAAATGAAACCCCACAAACTTTTAGCTAACGGACTGCTTTTTTTTCAGCAACAGAACATTTTACTTAAGCATGAGTAGCCATAAATCTCTGAATGAGATGCTGATGTGAAAAAAAGTGTAGTCAGACTGACCTGCAGACGAGGGTGGCGATGATGACGCACCAGGCAGTGCAGCAACAGTCTGCGTTTGGCTGCTCATCGCTCTTCTTCCGGCGGCAGCACAGCCAGCAGGAGTAGATGAGGAGGAAGAGAAGGTCCAGAGCCAAGCATGCCAGAGCAACACCGCCGAGAAGCAGGAGCGACTGTGAAAGTAGAGATGAGAAGAGAACGTGGGACATTGTTGATTGGTGATGAAACACTGAATTCATACTTCTAAAGAAAAGAGCAATACTTTAGAAAATCCAGTATCCAAGTCTTTCATTTTAACTCGCTGCACTGCAATCAATGCTTTTCTTACTTGGAGTAAAGTTTTTGAGTCCAAATATCTGTAAATTCATAAATCAAGGAGCATTTTCTAGACAAGAAAAAAAATTATATTCTGCCCTACAAAGGAAAAGACCTTAAGTTGTTAGAGTGTTGAAGTGAGAAAAAAATACTTTTTTTTGTCAAATAAAACAGACAAATTGGTTATAGATAGGAAGTTGGAAAACTGGCAATTACAATGACATTTGTCTACATAATAAAATCTTGAGCTCAAGGACTTCTCGCAATTCATTGAAAAAATTAATTAATTCACAAAAAATAACCCAGCCTAGCCTAAAGATGACTGGACCAATGTGAACGCCAGCAGGTTGGAATAATGATCATTCTTGTGGATTACACATCTCTGTTGACATTAATTGCAAGGGATTTTATTGGGTTACAAGAACGGTTTTAACTGCAAACTGTACTGATTTTATGCGTGATCATGCTAAAATGCTAACACTGTCACGACACTCCAGTCAACTAACTGACCAATCGGGGGCTATTGACAAGTTGCACTAGTGAAAAATACCAACTGTGAAGAAAAAATTCCTGAGATCATTTAAGATATTTGTGCTCGCAATTTTTAGTCTTTGTTGTTTGCATTGCTTTATATTTAGCAGATTGTTAGCCTATTATGATAGTATGACAGTAAAAGAAAGGCCGAATATCATATTGACACGCGGTGCTAAAAAGGCAGTGCTTTGTAACTTAAAGGAGCATACCAAAACCAAGTCAAAGAGCGCTCACTGGGGTTATGGTGTTCTGGCTCAGTTTCGATTAGGCTTTTGGAAGTAACTGTTTAGACAAGACATTATTTTCTTGAAAAAACAATGATATTGTCCTCATGATAAAGGTGTCTTCCTTCATTGTCGTCAAAAATATCAACATTTTTATAAAAAAACGAAGTTGCGGTCTTCTACCTTTGCAGGCAGTATTGTTTTCAGAAAAATAATTCAAAATTAAGTGAGATTTTCTTTAAAATAACCTCAATGATCTCGCTTTGAAATAAAAAATTATTTGCTTACCACATTGCCAGAATGTTTTGTTGTATTAAATTAAAAACAATATTATTGTGCTAACCCCAGGTATTTTGCAAAAGGCATTTCGCAAAATATTTATTGTTAATCGTAGCATTTTTAGATTATTTTAGAATATGCAAACATAATGGAGTAAAGTCTGTACATTATTACAACATATAAAATGGACAACATCTTTTTTCCGCATAGTTTTTTTTTTTTACATAAGAGTTTCCATTACACTTGTACACTTGAACAACTCAACTCACTTCTGTAACACACTTAGAATAAAATATATTAAGCAAACGGTTAATAAAAAGAATGTAAGCTCAACGTTTAGACATACTTTCAAGGTGACTATGTAAAAAAAAATAATATATTATATGTTGAATCTGTTAAACGTTCTAAAGATATTAAAGTCAAAATTATTAGCCCTCCTGTGATTTTTTTTTTTCTTTTGCTTTTTCAAACATTTCCCAAATTATGTTTAACAGAGCAAGCAACACCCCTGGCATGATTACGTTATATTTAAGACACAGCAATAGCGTCAGATTACAGCAGACTGATTTCATGGCACCAGGGTAAACTTTCTGACACCTTCATCGCAATCACGTAAATACAAATAAATTCAAGCCACAACTAAACATGGAAGATGGTCTCCCAGTGGCATTCTCCAAAATTAAACGATAAATAGACTTGAGCATATCGGTATTTGTGCACCGTAGTGTGCAAGCTTTATTCATTTATAACCACCTCAGAGGATATTGGGGGGTCACGAGTCACTGCGCTCTTTACTTCTCTCTATAAACTTGTATCCAAGCTGCAGCAATGGCTTGTCCATTTGTCATCCTCTGAAAAAATAATTAATGGTAACCTAGTTACGAGAAACGCAGGGAGCATGAGAGCAAAGTCCATTGTAATGGTCAAGGAATCCACCCGCTTGTCACTTCAGATTAGAATATTAACACATGCGAAAATGAGTGCCATACAGTAGCAGTGAGGATATTGTAAAAAAAAAAAAAAGGATGCAAGGATGTTGCCAGAGTGGCTTTTTGGTTTCTTTTCTTGTGCATCCCAGCCACAAGCTCCCCATCTGAAAGATTTTTTAGCATAGGGGGTAATATAGACATCCACCTTCACAATTTGTAATGCTGCAATATTTTTTTGAATAATGATGGTTGGTTCCTTTACTTGAAAGCTCAGATTTGATCATCATAATTTGTTTTGTTGACAGATTTTGAGGTTTACTGAATCATTTTTATTCACACCTTAAAGTTTGCTTTAAGTGTTCAGCATTTGCACTTTACCATTGCACACACTTTGTAACAACATTTTATCTGTTAAGAGTCTCCTTAACACCTGTTTACTTTATGTTAAAAAGTGATATTTTGTTTAAATATTTTTGTTTTGACTATAAAAACTATTTGCCTCAGTAATGTAAGTAAATTAAAATTAAGTGGTTATATAGAAAACAATCCTAATAGTTCTAAATGTATTGTTTAAAATATTCAATAATTATCAACTTCAAATTATATGAACCTTGATAGCGTGATATTTATTTTTTACAATATCTCCCAGCCCTAATATAATCATCGTAAAGAAATAATAATAATGTACGAACATATAAATGCCACAATTTGTTCAATCCAACAAGTTTGACTCATCTTCAGCTCTCTCTCAAAGTTGTACGACTCCCTCAGAATATGACAAACAAATCAAATGCACATCAAAAAAGTGCTCCTTTAGAAAGAATCAAAAACAGTGTGTGGGTCGCTCAATGCAGAGTCTCCTGCTACAACTCACGTGACAAGTAACCTGCAGGGGAAGTTTTGTGTATAATGAGGTCAGAGCTATTCTGGGTTAAGACGCACACTTCACTCTGACAGTCTTGTTGTGACAACCACGCAGGGATTAAGCACTTTAAGATCATCTGCACTCAATTTCCTCAAAAACCGACCCAATTCTAGGCCTGCCCGATTACCAGGGTAATCTGTCAAGATAGGTCTGGCCTGATATACAATCAGTCAATCTGTGCACACTCAATGAACCCTTCTTCGCATTTCCAATCTCTCAAATCACAGTTTCCATTTGCCTTTCAACCTTGGCCAAGTTGTCCATCAAGCGCACAGTTTGCGATCACAGGAAAACCGTTGTGCCTGTTGAAAAGGGCCCAGCGAGGCACACTAGAAAAGCGAGCTGGTCTTAAAAGCAGTTTGTAAAGCTAAAAGGTCATCAGAGCTGCAGCGCATTTACTTTAAAACACAAAGCCTGATTGTTTGTCTCAAGGTAATTCCTTGGGCTTATTAGGCTGAGACGTTTCTAGCTAATTTTTGGGTCATAGTGCACAGACGTGTCAGTCTGTCAGGAAACAACAGAAGCATTCCCATTGTACTAGACTGCCAATACAGCCATGTTTCCATCTAGATATTTTTATGCACACACACACAAAAACAAACACCAGAATGCACATTAAATATCATGTCTAATCTTATGTTATCCATTAGGATTAGATTAATATCAGGTTATTTTATACAACACAAGCCTGCAACAAAGATATTAAAGAAACAGATGTACAGAGCAAAGGTGCACAAACTTAATCCTGGAGGGCCAGTGGCCTGAAGATTTTAGTTCCAACTTGCCTTAACGCACCTTCATGGATGTTTGTAGAAAGTCTAGTAAAGCTGCCGTCCCATAGACTTCCAATTCATACACAAGCGAATGCAACAAAGCAGAAACACAAGCTCATGCACCAAGTTCATGCTTAGTAAACTCTGACCTGCAAAATCGCATCACGACTGCACAAGACCAATCAAAGATCAAAACGTGATCTCTCTGTAAAGAAATGTAAAATATGGACCAATCGCTTACTTTTTTTATGCCTAATCATCTTAAATTAGAGGTGTGAAGCTATACTGGTCTCACGGTTCAATTACGATTGTAATGCCATCGATTCGGTTCAATTCGGTATCTCGGTGCATCGACGATGCTTTCCATACACAGTGTTATATTTTGGGGGGTGGCTATAACAAGCGGTCTGTATAAACACATACAGCACCACACTGTCTCTCATTCACACACATACACAACCATTGACAGCACCAAACAAAAACACACACACACACACAAACGCACACACAACCCCACACACACACACACACACACACACACACACACACACACACACACACACACACACACACACACACACACACACACACACACACACACAAAAGCACGCTTGCTCGCTTGGGAGTGATATTGTGAGACCACCCACTCATGTTATAATTACACCAGAGTAACCGACCCCTCCTGCCCTTTTTTGGAAATTTATTCCCGCGCCGCATGAAATCCGGTCGGGTCCTGCGACAATGCAAAGGTACAGCCGCGGGAACGCAGACCTATATCCAGAAGTATGTTGTAAAAGCCTAGAGGAAAAGAGAGGGGAGGAAAAGTCACGCCAGCAGGTGAACTGGGCCAGAAATAGAGAGAGAGAGAGAATTGGAGTTCACTTTCATTCACTCAATCGCAGACCTATATCCAGAAGTATGTTGTAAAAGCCTAGAGGAAAAGAGAGGGGAGGAAAAGTCACGCCAGCAGGTGAACTGGGCCATAAATAGAGAGAGAGAGAGAATTGGAGTTCACTTTCATTCACTCAATCGCAGAGAAATAGGGCTTCTGCTGTAAGTTTCAGGGAAAGATTGTCCAGAAAACACACACATGCAGTTAAATTGTGCACAGTTTCTGTGTTTTTATGTAGTTGGCACCTGGAGTGTTGTAAAAACCTGCGCTCACCTCCCTCGCGACAGAGCGCATATGAGATA